AGCAGAAGCTCTGTGACCAATACTGTGTTAAATGCTCTATGACCATTACCACCTTTTATCCTTACAACCCATTGCTTCTCTCCACCTAAATTAGTTCTACTGCCCATAGGTACTCTCTTTCTCCTTATACACCCTTACATCACAAGCTTACCTGCTTCTCTTCCTTTGTTCATATTACTTATATTTCCTAAAATACATTTCAACCTTTATCTTGCTCTCCTAATTCCCCTTTCACTTGAACTACCTTAGCAATTTTATTCTATATCACATAATATAGCATTTAACATGTACTCTCATGCTAGTGATTATTGAGCTGTAAAATACTGAACAGGTGTTTATTATCTATTACATACTTAAATAAAGCAATAAATAGATATGTATCACTTGAAAAATATTTTATGCCTCAAAGTCATACCCTGTAAATAATACTTTAGAACAATTATATCAGCTCTGGTTGGTGGGGCTCAGTAGATTTGGTGCTGGCCTACAGACCGAAAGGTTGCATGTTCAATTCCTGGTCAGGGCACACACCTGGGTTGCAGGCCAGCTCCCCAGCTGGGGGCATGCAAGAGGCAATCAATAGACGTTTCTCTCCCTGCCTTTTTCCCACCCTTCCCCTCTCTCTTAAAATAAAAAAATAAAAAAAAAAAAAAATCTTTTAAAATAAATAAAACAATTATCCCAAAGATAATCACAGATAAAAATATATCTTTTAAGGCATAAAGACTTGTGGTATTATTAGATGCTCTTATAAACTATTCTGATAAATGTATTTTTAGGCACATTCATGTCTTACCTAATTAGAAATCAAACTGAAATATTATTAGATAATTGTCAGTGTTATCCACAGTAAAATGCTTTATGTCTTTTTAAAAATAACGTAAGTGTATATATAGTACTCTTTAAAATAGTTTGGGCATATGATCCATATGGGCTTAATGTCAAATAACCAAATTTATGTCCTATCTCCACCATTGCTTTCTAGTGACTACTACCTTTGTACAAGTCACGTAAGCTCTCTCAAGGTTACATTTCTTCTTTCGTAAAATTGACCCAGGATGCAAAAGGAGGACTGGAAGAGTTCTCGTGCTCTAGGGATTGTACTTGCCTATAATTCTAAAGGAGAGTATTTATATACTACCAGTAATAAATATTTTAAATCTATCATAACTGTAATCTTTTCTAAAATGTTTTCTGGCTCCTTTGATTCTTCAGATTCTCTTAAATTTCTGAATGATCACTGAATCATTGGCCACCTGTAATGCTAGGTTCTGTCTAAGACAAACTGAACATGCACTTCTGATCCCTATAGTTCATTATCATTGTCAGATAATGTCATAGAATTTATATAGTACATTTATGCACAAGAAAAATAGATATTTACATTTTGTGTTTAAACTACTAACTCTAGTATTGTTAACCACAGTGCCAGGGGAACAACTTAAGCTCTGATTTTGAAGTTAGACTGATTTTTGATTCAAAACTCAGTATTAATGGAGAACTCAGAAAAAACCCATGCCTATATGGTAATGACAAAGGAGACAAGAATATACAGTGGGATATAGTCTCTTCAATAGATGGTATTGGGAAAACTGGAGAGACACATGCAAAAGAATGAAACTGGATCACTTTCTTACATCATATGCAAGAATAAACTCAAAATAGATTAAAGACTTAAACGTAAGACCTGAAACCATAAAACTCCTAGAAGAAAACATAGGCAGCAAACTCTTTGACTTCACTTTTAGTAATATTTCTTTGGATATGTCTCCTTGGACGAGGGAAACAAACTAAAAATAAACAAATGGGACACATCAAACTAAAGAGTTTTTACACGGCAGAGGAAGCCATCAACAAAACAAAAACACAACCTAGCAAAGGAAAAGATATTTGCCAATGATACATCCAATAAGGGTTTAACATCCAAAATTTATGAAGAACTCATTCAACTTAATATCAAAAGAAAAACCCCCAAAAAAGCCCACTTTGTTTAAGTATGAGCAGAGGACCAGAATAGACATTTCTCCAAAGAGGTCATACAGATTGCCAGTGAACATACAAAAAGATGCTCAGTGTTACCAATCGTCAGAGAAATGCACATTAAAAACGATGAGCTACCACCTCACACCTGTCAGAATGGCTATCATCAATAAATCATTAAACAACAGGTGTTGGTAAGGATGTGGAAAAAAGGGAACCATCATGCACTGTTGGTGAGATTGCAGATTGGTGTAGCCAGTATGAAAAACAGTATGCTTCTGGGTATTTATTCAAGAAATCAAAACACTAAATCAAAAAGATATATACATCCCTCTGTTTATTGCAGCATTATTTACAATAGCCAAGATAATGGAAGCAATCTAAATGTCCATCAATAGACAACTAAAGAAGTAATACACATGTAAAATGGAATATTAGCCATAAAAAATGAAATTTTGCCATTTGTAACAACATGGATGGACCTAGAGGGTATTATGCTAAGTGAAATAAGCCAGAGAAAGACAAATACCATATAATTTCCCTTATATATGGAATCTAAAAAAAGCAAATCACAAGTTTATAGGTAGAACAAATTGATGGTAGCCAGATGGGAGGGAGGTTGGGGAGAAGTTTGAAAAAGGGGAAGGGATTACGATGTAAAAATTGTCAGTTATGAAAACAGTCACAAAGGATGTAAAGTACAACATAGGAAATATAACCAATAATATTGTAATAACTATAGTTGGTTAGACTTATCAGGGTGATCACTTTGTAAGTTATATAAATATGTAATCACTATGTGTACATCTAAAACTAATACAATGGATGAGGTCTGTCCAGAAAGTACCAGCCACGTACTATGACAAATATTGACATTTACTGAAGAGAATACAAGAAATATTGTACATAGGACAGTGGTGCCTCAGTCCCTTTCAAAATAGGCCCCTTAGGACCTCACACTTCTCCCAATCGCCATCAGCTGCCCCATCGTATTTTCCTGAGTTTCATCCATGGTGTGAAATCTCTTCCCTTTCAAAGGTGATTTTAGTCTTTGGGAGTAGCCAGAAGTCGCAGAGTGCCAAATCTGGGCTGGAGGGGGCTAAGTCACCTGGGTGATTTGATGTTTTGCCAAGAAACTGCATGAGGGGGATGTAAGAGTGGGCACTTTGTTGTGATGAAGCTGCCTATCACCAGTTGCCCATGGCTGCGGCCTCCTGAATCATTTGCATAGTTTCCGCAGAGGAATATGCAAGCTTAATGCAAAATCTGATGCAGATTTGTTGCTGTACTTGCTTAGTCATTTTGAATGCAATGGCCACACAGTACACATGCTCACTCTGTTGTGTCTACTGTCCCCATGACTAGTACAGTGAAGTCATTGATCACGCATGTGCACTCCAGTCCACTCTCCTTGGCTGCCAGGTTACAGCAATGTCACACAAACTGTTCTCATTATATTAACAATGGTTGGACTTTTTCTGCATGGACTTCGTATGTCAGTGGTAATTGAAAAAAATTTTTTTTTAATTTTTTTTAAACTCAGTGTTCCCATCACAGGTTTAGCAATTTAAGCCTGGTTTTCCAAGTGCCAAACAAGGGATTAAATGTAATCTGTGGAGTTGTGGATGTTAAATGATAACCTATGCAAAGTGACTATCATGTATATAAAAAGCATTTAATAAATGTTAGTTTTTGTCCCAAATAACAAGCATTAAGAACAGGATTTCAGGATATTTATACTAAAGGTTAAAAGATTCTAACAGGTTATAAGGAAATGTTTGAGCAGACTAAAGAATTCAGAGCCATTGTGGCTAATTTTAAGATAGATTAAATGGTATTTTTTATAAATACAGATTAGTTAAAAATATTTCAATGATATTGGTTGTTCTGAGTAGCACATTAGATGAAAATATTAGTTATGAAACATGTCTATTTCTTTTGACAGTGTTTTAATACTTTAAAGAACAGAGGGTAATACAACAAATTCTCATTTACCAAGCACACAGAACTAACAAATTCCAGCTCTCTGTCATATTTGCTTCAGATATTTAACTTTCCTCTTAAAAGAATTAAATATTTTCAATAAAAGTGACGTCCTTTTTCCCCAGGCCCTTTTCTCTTCCTTCCTTCTCAGAGGCAACCACTGTCATGAATTTGGTGTCTATCTTCCCATTCAAGTTTTTATATTAATACTTATATTAGGTATATAAGCATAATTTTTTTCTGAGTTTACTTTAAAATTTACATACTTAGCCCTGGCTGGTGTGGCTCAGTGGATTGAGTGTTGGTCTGCGAACAAAAGGGTCACTGGTTCAATTCCCAGTCAGGGCACATGCCTGTGTTGCAGGCCAGATCCCCAGTAGGGGGCATGAGAGAGGCAACCACACATTGATGTTTCTCTCCCTCGCTCCCTCCCATCTCCTCTCTAAAAATAAATAAATAAAATATTTTATTAAAAAATTTACATAATTTTATGAGTGTTCTACTTTTTTTTAAATACTATGGTTTGAGACTTAACCTTCATGGAATGTTTAAAATGCCATCTTCTGTTTCTTAGTTTATCAACACTTTCTCATCCATTGATTGAGACTTTTCATTCAGATGGATAGTATTGTAGCAGCTCACACCATAAAGGAAGTGGGAACCTCTGGCTTAAATGCCTTTCCAGTATGAACTACACAGGGTTTCACAATATTCAACTGTATTTCTTTGCTTAACAGCTCAAATTCCAGGCAGCGTTTATTTTGAATGTGATTTAAAAAAGGGTTCAGGGGTGGAGGGGAGGTACCACATTTCTGATTATCATCTGCAAGTTGACCTGTCTTCAGCCAAAACTGATTAATCTACAGCAAAGCTCCATTATCTAAATTTGTTCAAAAGAACTTATAGAAATTATGTTTCTAGGAAGAATATGGATTAAATCTTGTAGATTTTATATAAAATAATTAGAAACTTCTGGTGCCAAATATCTTTGTTCTCTTTTTTGTTTGTCTCTTGTTTTGTTGTTTTGTTTTTGACAGCTTCATCACTGGTCCTGCTGTAGTCCCAGGGTACTTCTCCGTTGATGTGAATAATGTGGTACTCATTTTAAATGGAAGAGAAAAAGCAAAGGTCTTTTATGCCACCCAGTGGTTACTTTTCGTACAAAATTTAGTGCAAACTCAAAAAATCCAGCATGTTGCTGTTGTTTTGCTTGGAAATGAACATTGTAACAATGAATGGATCATCCAGTTCCTTAAAAGAAACGGAGGCTTTGTGGAGCTGCTTTTCCTAATTTATGACAGCCCCTGGATTAATGACGTAGATGTGTTTCAATGGCCTTTAGGAGTAGCAACGTAAGTAAAAAGTGTTAGATATGATTCTATACTTTAAGACCTGAATTTCAAAATCAGGAAGATGGTGTTTTAAATTTGCAATAAACATAGTTCTTTTGAGATCATTGAGGCCAGCCAGGTACTATCTTTTCCATGGGCAAAAATATGGTTTGGTCGTGTGCTTCAGTAATAATAATGATGGTTTTAGAGTATTTTAGCCTTTTGTGAGAAAGGCAGATGAATTACCTTTCTTTGTTTTAAAACTGCAAGGCAGGAGATGAATTTTTAAGTTTATCGGCAGTTCCTTAAAGAGGTGTTTAGCAGAGGATGGCAGACAAACAGGCCTTCTTAAAACAATTAGTATAAAAATCTCTATAACTGATAGTGTAAAAAGAAAAAAACCTTTCCTTAAAGGCAATATTTGATCAGAAGCACACCATATCCTTGAGCTTGGAGGCAAATAATATGATTGGATCTGCCAGTAAGGCTGTTGAATTTGCACAAGTTTCTATTTTAAAAAGGAATTAATTAATAACTAAGGTTTCTCAATATGTCATATATATAAAGTCTTTGTTGAAAATGAAAAACCTATCTTTAATCTTTCTGTTAATGGAGTTTTGTTTGTTTTATTAGGGGTAAATTGGCTTTAAGAAGAGTTGCCACCGTATGTGAACTTCCTGATGGCAGGGATTTTTGTCTCTTTTTGTTCACTTCTTTATCCACAGAGCCTAAAACAATGCCTGCGTGCAGTAGGCACACAGTAAATAATTGTTGAATGGATGAATTATGAAGAAGCTTACTAACATGATGTTTGAATCAGATATTTTTTATTCATTATTTTATAACTGGTTATGAGGTGTGCCCTTAGGCTGCTACCTAGTTGGCTACATGAACATCACCAGAGAAGAGCATTAATAAGACAGAACCCCTGGGTTACCACTATAGTGTTCAGATGAAGTAGGTTTGAGGTAGGGTCAGCCAAAAAGGTTTATTATATTAGGTGTAGGCAGGTTTACGGCCTCTGAAAAATCTATCCTTTGAGTAGAGCCTATATTTGTAAAATGTTTTGAAACCAAAAAATTGACTTTTTCACAGTAATACTATATAACTTACTACTACATTATAAGATGGAACCTCTGTGTAATTCCGGTATTGTTGAACTAGGCCAGTGTCACTGTTACAGATCAGTGGTTCTCCACCAGGGGCAGTGTGCCCCCCGGAAACATTTGGTAATGTCTGGAGAGCTTTCAGGTTGTTACAAGTGGAGGGAGGAGGTCCTGACATCTGGTGAGCAGAGGCCAGGGATGCTGCTCAGTATCCTGCAATGTAGAGGACAGCTCCATGACAAAGAATTATCTGGCCCAAAATAGTGGTAATGCTGAAGTTGAGAAAATCTACTATATAGACTGTGTTATAAAGCTTTGCACTTACGTGGAGGTTCTATTTCAAACACACAATTTGATTTCTGTTACTTTCAAATGTCCATAAAATTGGGCCAGCTTCAATAAGCTTCTCCTTTATGGCATGCAAGGTTTTTGGGGGGTTTTTTTAATCTACTTGAAAAGCCTTTGAAATGGGAGCTCTTTTCTCAGAATATGTATTCTGTCACTTGGCTAAAACATTCATTAAATCATGATCATTATGAGTGTAGCAGGTTATTTATACTTTTAAGTTCTTGAATTCAGCTAGCCTTACAACTACAGGTGTAATAGAATTTGAAGACTATAAAAAACAAAGCACTTTGGCACACAGTCTCTAAAGCAATTTTGTAAAAGATGTCATTGTGAGAATCTTTTTTTTCTAAGTCAGTAGATTCAAGGACTTTTCCAACATAAGCATGGAAAATTACAATTTGGGGTTTAGAAAGTCATATTTTAAATCTTTCTATATCATCATGCTAAAATGTTGGGTTATGGAAATTTTGCCAATTCTATTATCGTATATTATTAACTCATATGTGCTTGTTTTTATAGATACAGGAATTTTCCTGTGGTGGAGGCAAGTTGGTCAATGCTGCATAATGAAAGGCCCTACCTATGTAATTTCTTAGGAACTATTTATGAAAATTCATCCAGACAAGCACTAATGAACATTTTGAAACAAGATGAAATTGATAAACTTTGTTGGGTTTCAGTACGAGAACAGTAAGTTCTTTGTTTACTTGATCCATTCACTTTGTTCTCCAGTCTGAGAGTTCCTTTATGCGGCAGCACAGGTTTCCACAAGAGATGTTAACTCCACTTACAGTACATCAGTCCTTCCCCAGGAGATAGATTGGTAGTTAAAGTTATGAAGAACTCGGATTGTATACAATTAAAACAGGGACAATCTCCTATAGCTATAGTACCTCTTGAAGAAGAACACTAGCAACTGCAAATGTCAGTTGTTTGGGTTTCCGCAATAATATTTGCTAGTCCAACTTGACACACGGGAAATTGTGAATATGCCAGTAAGGTCCTACTTTCACCCTGGGATGTTCTGCAGATCAGGTCAGTGTTCCGTTAATGGCATGGAGCACTCCTCACACCTCCAGGAACCTGACCGGGAACCCTGAGGACAAGGGCCACTCATTCTTCTTCTTCGAATCCCCAGGTCAATATAGGACCTTGCAAAAAATAGGCCAGAATAAAGGGGCAGTGGATGGATGGATGGATGGATGGATGCACACATGCATTGACTTTCTTCCCTTTTTTTTTTTTTACATGGTAATCATGAAAGAGGTGTTTGTGAAGTGAAAGAAGAAATTTTCTGATTACTTTGTTTTTAAAAAAAATCAAATGGAGTTTTGTGTGTATGAAGCAGAGTCATCAGAGAAGTAATGCCTGAAAAGTGTCCTTCAAGATCTAGAAATACATTCCTTGTAGCAGATACTCTCTTCTAGAAAACATAACTCCCAACTCAGCTATTTGTGTAACCATATTATTTCCATTCAGTCAAAAAATATTTATCAAGCAACTGCTCTGTGCCCAAAGCTGTTTTAGCCATGAGGGGTACAGCAGTGAACAAAACGATCACAGGGCATGCCCTCTTAGAATTTAGATGGTTGTGGGAGGAGAAAAACCAGTAAATACATTGCGTGTCAGAATATGATAAATGCCATGTTAAAAAAAAAAAAAAAAGTGAGCAGAGGAGCAAAGTAGAGAGGACCAGGGATCAGGAGTGGAGCATTGGCTGTTTTAGAATGGCCAGGGGAGGCACTAGGAAGGGGTCACATTTAAGCACAGGCACGAAGAAGGTGCAGGGGTGAGCTTTGTGTCTGTCTAGAAGAACAGTAGTCCAGGCACAGGAAAGGGCAAAGGTAAAGGGCATAAGGCAGAAGCCTGCTTATAGTTGAGGAACAAGGGACAATGTGCCTGGAATGGAACAAGTGAGGGTAGTGTAAAATGACAAAGTTTATTGTGGGAATAGCATTATTCTTGTAATTCTTCCCATACCGATGGGCCAGGAGATCAAGTAAGTGTCCTTGCTTCTCATTGCTGCTCCCAGACCATCTCCCTTTTCCCTCCCTAAAGCCTCCAATTTTGAATCTCATGCCAGCAGACAAAACCATCCATCCCTCTTCCTCTCCGAAGTCATATTCTGACCCTTGGGCTTATCTCCTTAATTCTTCGAAGACTCCCAGACATTGCTCGAGCCTCACTTCTGGTGGTTCAGATCTGCACAGCTGGTCCTCCCGTCACCTTGGTCTCGCAGCTCCTTTATCTCTTCTCCTCCGTGATCTGGTCTCCACTTGTTCTCAACTATTAACTATCATGGTTTTTTTCTAGACCCTATTCATGCACATGCTGCTTCTCTTCCATGATCTCAAGTTCCACATCTTTCTCTGTAACCACCATTCCTGTAATTTCATGTAACCATTGTTCCCTGTAATAGCCTCATACAATGTAGCTGGGACTTAGAGCCTATTGTTCCTACTCCCTTTTCATCCTTTTGCTTACCTCATTATTTTCTTCTTTACCTCACTTAAATGTTGTAGTCAGTCAGACTGGATATTCATTCATCCATAGTTTCCTAACCTAGCAAACCCTGGCTCTGGCTAAATCCAGCTCTCACCTGCACCATACCTGTACCCATGCAACCAAACATGCTGGGAGAACACTTGGAGAAAGCTGCCAGTCAGTTTCACTTTTAATGCATGACCTTGACCCTCAAGTGCCTAACAATCATCCATTTCCCTTCTCTGCATATTCTCCCACTCTCCTAGAACACCGTTTTATACCTTGTTCTCTCTTCCAAACCACTCTTACCATATTACCCTCTTGCTTATCACTGAGAACATAGGAACACTCAGGAGAGAACACCTAGTTTTCTAAGTAGCGTCTCAGCTTCTACCCTTGCCCCCGTATAGTCTGTTGTTAACAAGCAGCCAGATTGATTTTGATAAAACACACATTAGGTCAGTCACCCTTGTGATCCAAACCCTGCATGACAGGATTCTCTGACTTCATCTTCTCCACCTTTCCCCTTTGGTCACTCCACTTCAGCCACACTGGCTTCCTTGCTGTTCATTGAACATGCCAGGCACACGCTGTCTCATGGCCTTTGTGCTTTCTCTGCACCCTGTTCTTCCCCCAGACATTTGCATATTTTGCTCCCTCACTGCCAGCTTCATGCTCAGGTGCCCCTGTAATGAGACAGTCCCTGATCACCTATTTTAAAATTGCAGCACTACCTCCTTATAAACTCCCTCCTCACGCTCTGGTTCATTTTTCCTCACAGCGCTTAATGCCTTCTAAATGATTTCCTGACTTGACTTGGTTGCTGCCTGTCAGCCAAGACCCACTAGACCCACTAGATCTAGAGCATAAGCCCTGAGGGGGTGGGAATTTGGAGGGTGAGGTAGAGAGAGAAGACCTGGCACTCAGAAAATATTGGCTGAGTTAACTAACATTCATTCAGAAATTTTATGGTGACCACTAGATTTTAAAAATGTATAGCTATAAACTTTTAAAAATATTAAATATTTTCAATAAATCAATTTGGGCAAGATTTTATTTATCTTTTCTGCCTGTCATTTCTATGATGGATTTACCATTGCCTGTAACTGACATTAAAACATAAAATCTTTTCTTTCACAAAAGATATGTTTAGTAAAGTAAAAACTGCTGTTGTTTTTCTGATTTTCTAGGTGGCAGCCCCAGGAAACAAATGAAAGCCTTAAGAATTATCAAGAAGCTTTGCTTCAGAGTGACCTCACATTGTGCCCAGTAGGAGTAAACACAGAATGTTATAGGATATATGAGGCTTGCTCCTATGGCTCCGTTCCTGTGGTAGAAGATGTAATGACAGCTGGCAGCTGTGGAAATACATCTGTTTCCCATAATGCTCCTCTGCAGTTACTCAAGTCCATGGGCGCTCCCTTTATCTTTATTAAGAACTGGAAGGAACTTCCTGCTGTTCTAGAAAAAGAGAAAAGTATAATTTTACAAGAAAAAATTCAAAGAAGAAAAATGTTACTTCACTGGTATCAGCACTTCAAAACAGAGCTAAAAATGAGATTTACTAATATTTTAGAAAGTTCATTTTTAATGAACAATAAAGGTTAACTATTAATCTTTTGAGCTAAGATCTGATTTTTTAAATCATTTCTAGCATTGGGTGTGCATGTGGGTGGGTAGATGGGTGGGTGATTATGTATTCATAAATATTCTTTAAGCTGCCCTAGGAGATGCTAGATTATGTCTGTCATGGTTCACCAAGTGCCTCTTGCTGGGCCACTCCTGAAAATGAGGCTAAAATGTTACTCAATTCACTTTTGCAAAGTTGATTGATTCACTATTTATTAACTCTTCTCACCCATTAAACCCACTCTAGGGAAGCAGCATTGTGTAATGGAAAGACAAAATCAGTTAAAACCGTGCCTCTGTGCCTATGATCTGGGGACCTCGAGGAAGCCACCTAATTGCTCTGAATCTCAGTGACTTTCCATGTAAAATGGAGATAATGGTACCTCATAGGGTAAGTTGTAAATATGAAATAAAAGAGTACCCTATATATAGTAAACTCTAAGTAAGTAAATAATCATTTTTAATTCATTTTTCATTCCTTACTAGTCAAGGGTTAAATTAAATTATTTTATCACATTCTTATTTACGTAATTTGGGAGTAATCATATGCCATGATGGAAATGTACATGGGCAAATCTTGTGGAGTTAGACTTTTAGATGACTCAAGCTTTGTCAGATTCTTTTGAAGTGGGTATCTGGATGCAGAAATTGATCATAATCCATACAAAACATGGACTGGAGCAGTCAGAACTAGAAAATTAGTGCCTAAACTCTACAGAAGTTGTCACTGAAGGACAGAGAAAAACTAGCCAACTCAGAAGAGGGGTTCATGCGGAGACTGGCTGATGCCCTGCGAGAGTAGTGGCTTGGATTAAGGTTGATGATTGGTCTTGATCTTCAGGTCCTTAGGCTCCTGAGAGGAAGATGGACTCCGTCTGTTGCTTTGCCTGGCTTATTATTTTCTCAGGAATCCTATGGCTTAATTTCTATGAAACCAGGGGTTTGACATCATCGTTAATGATGCTTTTTTAAATCTCCCTGTTATATGCATGGCCATAGATATTCAATAGGTGTTAATTCCCCCACACTTTCATGGACCTGGAGCTTCCACAGTGGTCTCCATGTCATGAGAAGGTCTGGCAGCCTGGATATAAAGGACCTCACCTTAACATCGTATTGAAAAATCATGGGACCTATACAACCCTATTCAATTGAGGAAAGTGTCCCTGCTTGAGACGCCACATGTAGGGAGCCATTTTATAATGTGTGTCTCTCCTGTTTTGTGACCCACTTCAGGTGACAACTCTGGCCACTTTAAGGGTACCCCGTCAATAGGCTTCCTGATGACCCTGAATTTAGTACCAGAAAATAATATCTGAGGCAGATGGCTAGTTCAAGACCTTTGTGAACTAGGACATACTGAGAACCTTGGAGTCAACTGCAGGTGCAGAAACTGAAAGGATGCAGTGGAGTAGGAGCTGTAAGGTAGATCGGGGTTGTGAGAGAAGCAAAGATGCTAGGAACAAGCTCAGCAAGAGAAATCTGCCCTAGAGCTGTTGAAATGGCTCCTAATGTGTTTCCAGCTCCAATGGCCATGAATTTTGAGATTGCTTTTTTAGTTCCTTTTTGTGTATCTTCAGAATTATCCCCTTTCTTGAACATTCATCCCTCTTAGTTTCTGGCTACCTGAGCTGACTTCTAAACCAAAAGAGCCTACCCAAAACTATGACCATGCACTTCATCTTTGAGTCCTCATTTTGTCTTTTCCTTGAACAGGAGTGCTTCCAGGTCCAAGGTTGTAACACAGTTCTCCTGTGGCTAGGTTAAGGAAGTCTCTGTACTATATCTTACCAACAAGACTGGGTCATCTCCCTCTTTATGAGATACTTCTTGTTGCCCATAATCCTTTCAAAGATTGCTTTCTGCATTGATGTATTTGTAGCCAGCAAAGCCTTTGGAATGTCAAGACCATGGGGCAAGACACAAGTGAATCACATCAAAAGAAATGTTATAATGTCCTCCCACATTCTTTCTCACTATATAGACTTTGTGGGTAACATTGAGACCAATTCTAAGCCATCAGTTGCCTCTAGAACTAGTTGGAAATCTGCCTATACACTTCTGGTGGTTTGTGTCACAAAGTTGGAGTCCATGAGGTTTGAAGCTCCAGAAAAAATATCAAGGTCTGAATTCAAAACTTCATTGAACCAGAAATACAGTTTGAGACCAATGCTGGAATGGGACTCCACTATTCCAGGTTGCTTTTCTATCAACACCAGATAATTTTCCAGCTCAGGAAGTAACCAGACAGCAGAATGCACTTATATATTAAATATTGATATTCTAGATGGTAGGAACAAAAATTTAAATTTAAAAACTAGTTCTGTCCTGGTAGGAGAGAGAACTACATAAATAATTACAGAATATGTGTGCCAAGAATTCCAGTAGATGTATTTACAAAGAGCAATGGGAATTCAGGGAAAAACCCTGTCTGTCCCAGAGTTTAGCTTCTAGACTTGTCTTGAGTTGAATTTAAAGGGTATGTAGATTTAGTGGCATCTTTCAGTATCAGCAAAAAGACATGGGGGCAGCATTTTTCCCTTCTAAAATCAGCTGAGCCTGAGACCTTCCAGGTGCACCAGTTCAGGAGGGGACTGAGGCTCCTGGGTGGTAGGCTACTCAAGTTAACTCCCTCTAGGTTAGTTAGAACCACTGACTGTGCAAACAAAAGGTTTCAGTGGTCTCCCTCCATCAGAATGAATTCATCACAGAAGGGACCACTGAAAACCAGTTCACTGGGGTGGTAGTTCCTGAGTATCCTCAGAAGGAATTAGAGTCCCACTTTGCTTCCAGTTGTTTGGCACCTGAGTGTGTCACTGGTCCTAAAATGACTCTGAGCTCCATTTAGATATCTTCCATGAATGTTAATCTGTATAACTAAACCTGTATTTATTATCTTCCTCTTCCAAGACACAGACATACATACCTGTTTCCTCCCAAACCTTCTTAATCTCAGTAAATGTAATAGGGGAACTCAAGAGTTAAAGATTTAGCCTTAGTTCGTAAGCCCAAGTGATTAACGCAGTGGAAAGCAGTTCCAGGAACTGGAGTGCAAGACCTAAGTGACTCCAGGAGGTGGACAAGCAATTCAACCTTTGTGCCCCAGGGGGTCTTCAAGTGATGGAGACGGTATCTGAGCCATTGTGCTCCAGGGAGGGAACTCTGTGGCACAGATAAAGAAGTGTTGATCAACAGATAAAGAAGTACTAGGGAAATGCAGCTGCACTGAACTCTTATCCAATTAACCTTTTTTCCATACCCCTTACCTACCCTTTCTTCTGGCTTGAGGTGAGATGTTAACATGATTTTTGAGGGTACACAACCCACCATCTTCTCAGATCAAAGGCATCTGAATAAAGTGCCCATAAGGATTCAGTTCTTGTCTGTATCTATTGGTTTGAGTAGTGAGAGGCAACATGAATGCTGACTTTTCCAGTTTCAGATGGTGTCACTAACCATGCTGTTTCTCAAGCTGGAATCTGTAAAGTTTTATTTATTCTTCCCTATCCCTCCAATTTATCACCAAGTTCCATCCTTTTACTGCTCTTCACATTCATATTTGATTTAGGCAAATTTTCTTTAAAAAAAAAAATCTTTTTAGGTAGCAAATTATTGCAGAAATAATGTTACTGAGAGTAATTACAAATTTAGGAAAATACAAAATATTGTGTAGAAAACCTTACCTGTGAGATATATTAGTAATCTATAAAGTAATTAGAGATTGAAAGCTATATGTGGCAAACAGAACTTCTGAAATAACATGGTATAATAATTTCTAATATAGTCCTTATCACAAGAGATAAGTTCTTTGTAACTACATATGCGGAAAGACGTTAACTAGGCTCCTTATTGTGATCATTTTCCAGAATATACAAATATCAAATTACTATGCTGTACACCTAAAACTAATGTAACATTAGGTCAATTATACCTCAATAAAAAAAATAATTATTCCTATAAATCCTCCATAAATATGTAACTACTTAAATGTCTAATGAGAATTACTTTTCACAAATATCACATATTATTGATGTTTAGTCATTAATTACATTTGTTACCAAGAAAACTAATTAAAATGCCATATTCAGGGCTATAGTTATTTAAGTGAGTCAATTAGACAAAAATGTATCTGAGTTTTGTACACTCTAGTAGCATTATTTTCTATAGCACAAATACAAATATTTTTAAAAGTTACCAATTGAAAGGAAACTCTGTTCTTTCTCTGTGGCTTGCAGTCTCTGTCCCCGGGAGTCCTACATCTGTGCTCAAGGTGAAGCTGCTGCCAGAGCAGCCGCCACAGGGGAAATTACGGCCTGGGCTGTTCAACTGTCAAGATGTATTTTTGATGAAATCATTTTATTACAATGATTATTGTGTGTCCTCTTTTACTGTTAAGAGAGTTTTTTCCAAAAAAGGGGGTAAGTTTTGTCTTTAGCTGAAGGTGGTATTTAAAGCTATGGCTCCTGCCATTTTGGTGAGTTACTCAGTGTTCTTGCGTGTCTCCAATGCATACAGGAGGCATACATGTTATTAAACTTTGATTTGTTTTTCTCCTGCTACTCCACTTCATGTGGATTTGATTATTAGTCCATCCAGAAAATCTTCAAGAGTAGAGGATAATTTTTCCTCCTTGACACATTGTAGTTGTGGGTGTCCAGCATAAGTCACCCCAAGACATGCCTTAATGGTATGCAGATTGTTTTGAGTGAAAGGCAACTTCAGCTTCAGGCTCAAGAGAAACCTATGCCCCTCCCTTGGCTGCCTGGAAGGACTTGAATTAGGGGCCTTGCCCATAATAGGAGATTATCAGAGACTGGCCTATCTATAGGGCAGGGCAAACTTCTATTTACAAAACCTCTGAGCATCCTGCCATGAACCTTTAGAGCCCCCAAGGTGCATTATATCATCCGTTGCTAAGATGTCTCATATACCTCAATCCCCTTTCTATCTCTGACCCTCTCCTGCATGTGGGGTCTGACTCTCATG